AAAAAAAAAAAAAAAAATGCATTAGGAAACCAGCAGGAAGGAGGGAACAGAACTGTCATTTCTGTCCCACACCCAGACCCCAGACTCCTGGTGTGAGTGAGGATCGGATCCTGAGCAAGGGACCTTCCTTGGTAATCCCTCTGACAGCGTCCATCATCAGGGACACCTGACTTTGCTAGAATCACTTGGCACAGGCCTGGCGTTGAGGGACTATCTATAAGTTGCCAACCCATGTCTGTCTGTCTGTTGTTTTGAACAGCCCAGTGTGGCTAATACCTTTGCAGTGCCCAGTTGGCCTGTGACAGATTGGTCTACCTATCTGTTGTTATTATTTAACATTAGCTCTTTTATACTGCCTTATCTGCTTATTGCATTTATCTTTCTGTTAACTGTTGTATGTGTGTAAGCTATAATAAATTTGCCTTTATTCCACTCCCAACTTTTGCCTCCTCGATCCGAAACTGAAATCGAACAGCCCAGCTAGCCTGTGATAAAATTGATACACTCAGTGCCCAGCTGGCCTGTGACAGCTATTTAGTCTTGTATTCCGAGCTGAAGTCCACACCCTTGGTGGGGGTAGGGATAACTTAACCAACAGGAGGGTGGACTGTAGGCGTGGCTTTCCACACCTTACTTCCAGGCCTTCAAGTGAACCACTGCCTGGCATCATGCCATGTTATCCTCTTTAGCAACACCACCATAAGAGGCCACAGTTAATTCATGAGCACCCAGTTGTGCAGCTCTTCAATAAGGATTGTGCAACCCTTGCATTATCCCTATGGATCCAGTTGGAGGCATATCCATGGGACCCTGCCTGTCAGGTGTTCCTACCTATCAAAATCAGGCCCATCCAGGGTCTGAGCCACCACTCCATCCAATTTCTGGATCCTACTGGATCTTACTTAATTGTTCAAGCCAGGAGGATTAAAATGAAGAGTGTGACTAGAAGGCTGCCAGGTCAAAAACAGGGGGACTCCTAGCAAGTTCAGGTACCTTCAAGGTAAAAGCACCTGTCTGAGTTAGATACTTCTGGGTCAGTACTTTGGACTTGGATGTCCAAATCCTGTTTTAGGCCTGCAAGTCCTTTTCTAGATAGGGATCTGGGTTCTAGGCAGCATCTGAACCTTCATGCGTCTGCCAAAACAAGGGGTAAGCAGGAGACTAGTCGGAGAAGCAAACAAATAGTCTAAGCACAGGTGCTCTGGCTAAACAGTCAGGACAGAATCCACCTCTTATGTTGCCTGCCCCTGTATTAAGCTTTCCTTGCACTGCCCATTTCCACCTGATGTGTGAAAGCCCACTTGGAGCGGTCAGGTTCACCATTTCCCTGCAGTTGCTGAGAAGGGATTACAACTCCAGTGAAAATGGAACAGAACAGCCTGGCTTTTCTAACTGGATGACAGGGAATATGGATGCTTTCTTCACCCTCCACGCACACAGAGAGAGCTGGCGCTGCTCACTCTGTACATGGTTGAAAACAAAACAAGCTGCCTTGGTGCAAGCAAAAGGCTTATACATCTACAGTAGGGGCTTGATTAAACTGGGGACATCAGACCCATCCTATTCCCTTCCAGGGTTAAAAATCAGAACAAGAACAGCACTTTTGCCCATTTTAGTAAGCATCATAAGTCCTTCTGTATTTTAGATGTAGAGCCTACCACACTGCACAAGTATTTTCCTGCAGGCATGATCCTATAAGCCCCTGTAGTTTCACTTGCCAAGTTTGTGTGGGGTGTTAAATCTTTTTCCAGAAGGGGGTTAGATTTTAAAACAACAGAGCTTCCACAGAGTATCCCAACTGTTTTAGTGCACATGAAAGGGAGTTAGTACTACAAGTCTTTAGACAGGATTCGTTTAGGACCACCATCTCATAGAAAAAGAAAAATAATGCTAGAACCCCAGTTTCATTCGAGGAAGTTTAATTCAAATAATTAGAACTCTGTACAACTTGTATAATACAGATCTACAAATAAATTATACTGTAAACAGTGCAAAAGATTTCCACATTTGCTTATAAACATCCTCAACAGGAAGAGCAAATATTGCATTATTAAACATCTTTTCAAACAGTGAGGTGCAATATTTGCTTACGAACCACCTTTCTTGCAGAGAGAAGCATTTAAAAAGTATATCAACTCATTTTCTGCTGCTGAAATACAAGAGATTTAATTTAGGCACCAAGTCACTGAACATCTTAAAAATACAACCTTTTTGCTGCTTGCTTATCAGAAAGGGCTGATCATTCCTATGGACACAAATGCAGTTTGTTTTCCCTTGCAGGAGAAGCACGTTAAGATGGTCTTGGTAATACAGATTCTGGACATCTTTCAAAGTCAGAAACAATACCATTTGCACATTTCACTATGTTGTACTTGAGGACAAACACTAAACCGAGTAAGAACAGATGCGTCAGAGCTTAGTGGTATAGGAAGCAGAGGAATGCCAATTATCCTGGGAGACCCTGAAGCAAAAACCTCAAAGTCCACCTGAAGTGCAAAGTGCACCCAAAAAAAGAGCCTGCAAGATTTCAATCCAAGTCTCTTTGGCATCAAGCCATTAGAAAAGGGATAATATTGCACTTTGGAGGTCAAAACCTCCACATAAATTTAACAACTTGCAATACAAATAAATGGCTTAAGTGCCCTTTAAGAAAAAAAATCCAGCACTGTGGAGATAAAGCCTAAAGTTCCCATGTGTTCACAACATTTGGTCTTGATCCTTTGCGTCACCATGTACATGCTCAGCTGACAAGTGAGAGGCACAACGGGTAGAACTGGGACCTCATTACCGCCATATTAAAAAATTACCAAAGGAAGAAAACAGCAGTGAGAGCAATGTCAACTCCATGCCAGCGAGTTCAACACCACCTCAGAAATTCAGTGCAAGTCCGATGAATTCAGGCTTTTCAGGCTCTTCCAGTTTTTCTCCATGCCAAATCTCTATCTGATTTCACAAGTTCAGAACCAGCAGCGCCAGAAGAAGAGATATGCTGCCTGAAAAAGCCAAAATGAAGGGAGTTAAAACCAGCAGGCTCATAAGGTCAAGCCCCAGCACGGATGGGGGATTGCTATTCCTAAAACTATCCCAGAGATGTTTATTCCAATGCTTCTGGGAAACTTCTGGCGAATGCAAATAAAAATGACGGCACGCATGCTTTCGAGACTTCACTACAAGCAAATGTTTTCCACTTTAAACAGAAGACATTAGTCTTTAAGTTACTTCTTTCAACTAGCTACCTTAATATAGTAAGAAAATTAGCCTTGTGGCTTGTAAAGGGAAGACAAGCCAGTTGCAAATGGAAAGATTCAGAGTCAGGTGCTGCAGACTGAAGTGACAGTGACAAGTCAGTCATACAAGCATAAAACACAGAGAGCTGGACTCCCGCTCCAACACAGGAAGGATAACTGAAATGCACACTTCATTTGGATGGGCAAGGGGCCAGCTATGCTAATTAGGCTATACTAATTTAAAAGCAGCACCACACTCCACTTCACCCCTCCCTGCAAACTAGTCATGCTACAGGGCCTATGCACGACAGACCTTGAACACAGCAGGGTAATGTCAGCGCCTTCACAGTACTTTGCATAGCATTACCAAACTAAAAGGCCTTGACAGCAAACTTCACCAGGAAAAAAACCGACCAGCACTTAAGCTCTCCAAGTGCACAAATCTGCCTGGTATCCTTGAAAGGATTATAGGCAGACTTCCACCCTTCCTGGTTTACCATCTGCACCACTGCTCAAGGATCATATTTGCTTGGGTTTCATCATTTATTCAATGTGTGCAGGCTTGCATGCTTGGGTCATAAAGAAATACCCAGGACAACTGGATAGTATTATTTTTCTTTTTTCAAACTGAAGTTGGTTTTTGTTAGTTTGTTTTTAAAACTACTCACTGGTACCAACTGCGGTAACAGTGTTGGGCTCCCCTAAGGAGACAAGTTAAGAGCCAAGCTAAAACCTGAATTAAACTTCATGTTAAGTTTTATGAAGATAGCATTAAAAAGTTTAAACAAAGATCTGTTAGAGTTGTATGTGAAGGACAAAGCCCTGATTGCTAGAGTTGACAAAACAATCTTATCTAGAAAAAAGATTAATGGTTATTAGTGGCACATATGTTACCTCTGTTCAAGCCAAGGGAAAGAAATAACAGCTTAAAAAAAAAAATGCTGCATATTTATCCTACTCTCCAGTGTTTCACCACACATTCAACTTCTCCTTCATGCATCTATAGACTGGTCACTAGATTAATTTATACACCTCATTAATTGCTGGTGTGTCATAATTACAGATTAGCAAAAAAGGAGAAGGCCTAACTTGATAAAAGCGATTCCAGATTTTTTTTTTTTAATTGATTAAAAATAAGCAGCCATATCTTCTTAAAGAAGGGAGAATTAAAACTAAATTGTTAAAAACAAACAAACAAAAAACACAGAAAACCTACATGCTAGAAAATCTAGACCTAGGCTGAGAAAAAGTTTTGTTTTTTTAATAGTATATTTTGGAGGTGTCCATTAATGAATTTTTCCAGTTTACAATAAAAGTGTGCCTTTTCTTGACATCCAGCTAGACAGGTTCAGGTTGCCAAAAGGCAGATGAGCTCAGAGGAATCCACTTGCTGTTACGGCAATAGAAGCCATCTCAGTCACGAAAATAAAAAAGTTCACAATTGGTATTATATTGTACTAGCTTAAAAAGTACGAAGTCAGCTTTAAACAAAAAACAAAACAAAAAACACAAAAACTACTTACCCGTAGCAATTGTTGTAGCAGTGTTGTGCTCCCCTAGGGAGACAAATTAAGAGGTAAGCTAAAACCTGAAGTAGTAACTGCTAACTAGCGGTCAATAAATTCAAGCTAAACAACACTTAATATTCAGGCCATACCCTGTAAGGATTAGAATTAAACCAAACAGAAAGGAAGAAACTGGAAGCCATGACCCGAAATGCTGACAGACCAGCAACAATGAATGAAGAAGGGCAGCTTCTCCAGGAACTGTATGTGCACCAACATAGTCCTGACAGATTTTCACTAGATGGATGATCCAAGTATGATCCCGGATTAAATAAATAAATAAATAAATAAATAAATAAAATAAATAAAAAATCACAGGATTCAAAAGAGGGCAATATTTGATGCTTTGTGCCAACCCGCGATACATGAAAAAGTATAAACTGTCCAACGCCCGTTACAAAAAAACTGTATGGTTAAGGAGGAAACAGCTTTCTACACAGGAAATCAATAGGAAGTCCCATGCATTACTCTTTTTTTTCTTGGGGGGGGGGAAAGGGAGGCTGTGCAATTCTTCCACATCATTCAGAAGCCACACATGCCTTGCAAATTCAAAACCGTTTTCAGCTTTCAGTCTTTTACCCAGCCCCTACCCAACACACACACACACACACACACACACACACACACACACACACACACACACACACACACCCTCCAGCCAAGTGCTCTAAGGAACAAAGTCTCTAGGAAACTATTTAAGAGCATGCTCCTTCCCCACCAGTCTAAAGGCCAATACCTCTTGCTTTGTGTATTTGGTGGCAGTATTGTGTTACCAGCCAAAAACTAAAACCAGAGTTGATCTTGTAACAGTAGCTCATTCTAAGCTGGGAGTCAGGAGCATGATGGGGAACATACAATGCACCATGACTTCAAGGGTGGACAGTAAACACAGGAGTGTGAAGGTTATCCATCTTCCCACCACAACAGCAGCCTGCCAATTTGTGTCAGTACCGTAAGATCTGTTCGTTATTAATGGACGCCGCTTCTCATGCCGAAAGGGAGCTTCCCTTACAAGAGTTTCAGTCTACAGCAGTCACTGAACACCAAGATTAAATCATGCATTTTCAGTCCTTTCCCCAGTCAAAAATAACTCCCTTAGTTTTTACTGTCATTTGGACTTTACAGCCAAGGTATGGAAAGCATGAAGCCTCTAGTATAGCACTTACAAGGCAGTGTTGCTAGACATGCCCCACACCTTGAAAGCCATTAAAACCAACTTACGGATACACTTTGGTATTGGCTTATCCCACACCACGTTGCTGCCAGAAACCATGCACTTGACAGATTTTGGCCCTTCCAGTGTGTACCTGGAGGAAGGAAACAAAATCATTAGACTTGAGCAAAACAGGCAGAACATTTGACCATAGCCCATCCCATCTCTTCACGCTTGTATTCTGCCAGTTGGTAGAGCCAAGCACCGAGCTTGTACCCAGCCAAGTACGCTGCCAGAGACCTTTCCCAAATCCCCAGGCCTGCCACACACATTGTTTTTGGTTCAGCTTAAAAACCATTCCAGTTTCCCTCTTCCCACTTTCACCAGGGCTACATGCGCCAGGCAGCAGAGACGAGCCCTTTTCAAGCTGCTCTCTGTGGATCTCTGGCTAAATCTAGCCCAGAACACAGCAAGCCTGCTAGGTGAGACAGCCCCCTTCTCTGTGCTACAGAGTGCACCAGACACTCCACTGCTGAAGTGGCTCCTTCCAGTTCTGCTGATCTACTATGGGAGCAAGACCCAAATAAGAGAGAAACTAATAGTGCGAGCAGCTTGGCCAAAACCCATGAAATATTAGAAAGGGCTCACACATGCACACAAGCCCATCCTAGTAGTAGCAATGGGAGAGAAGACGGGTCAGAAGAACCATCTTCCCCATCAGGTTCTCCACTATCCTGAAGCCCAAGCACATCAGTGTCCAAGACTGGAATAGCAAGCTTAAAACCCAAGCCGAGAGGTCCTGTGCAGTTATAGACCTGGCAGCCCCTATGGGATCCTGCATAGAAAGAAAAGGGTGGGGCTTCCCTTTATTACCCCCAAGTCAACCACATGCTAGGAGGGTTTATTAAGAACTGTACGTTGGGTTGGGGTCTTTTGGGAACACCCAAGTGCATTGGCACTCCACTCCCTATCAGTTGCCGCAGGCGTCAGATGGCCAGCCTCCTTCCACCCCACCAAAAGTGCCAGACTTAGATACTCAGCTTGCAGCTAGAGATCTACAGCACCAGCTCCAACACACTGGAAGTCAAGCCAGGCTTTCCTGCCTCATTTTCCCAAAACGTATTGGTTATTTACAATCCAAAAGTTCTGTCAGCCAGCACAGATGACATGACGCTTACCCTTCGTCACAAGAAAAGTTGGCTGTTCCACCAAGCTGAACGCCAGCTTTACTATCAATTTTGCCATTCTGTAGCACTGGAATTTCGCAACTTTTCCCTATGAAGAAACAAAGCCTTCACGTTACCTTGACTGAAAAAAATATATACATGTTAAAAAAAAAAGTACACCGACTTCTACATCTCAACCCAGTACATGTCCTTCTGGATAAACCAGACGATTCAGAAGTCTAGAACCCTGTGTGGCAGCAGCCGGCTGTATCAGAAGGTTCAGAGATGGTCTAAAGCCAACACTTGATTATTACACAACCCAAACCACCAGTAATTAAACGTGATGTAGTTCCCTACATCCTGAAGGGCAAATTTGCCCGCAAGACCTAGATTCTGAAAGCACTTCCTCATGTGTATATAATCCCACTGACTTTGGCCGTCAGCAATAAAGAAAGAAAAGAAAAAAGAAAAACGAGGGATTAGAAGTTAAATAAGGCAAGACGGTGATAGTGCATAGTTGCAAGGTTTAAATCCTGCTTCTCTCTCTCTTCTTTTAAAAAGGGGGGGGTGGAAAAAAAAAAGAAATCACCTTCATAATTGATATAGGCCCACCACCAAATGAAAGCCTTTAGGTTTAAGATTAGGAGGACTTTCAACTCCAAGGGAGGCTTTGGCATTGGAACAGGCTGCCTAGAGAAGCTATGGAGGGAAACCTCTGACCCTGGAAGTTTAAAAGCACATTTGACAAACAGTTTGCTGGATTGGTTTAGTCAAGAATACTCCTTCCTTAAACAGGGGGACTGAACTGAACAAGATCCCTTTGCGAGATCCCTTCCAGCCCTATGGTCCTAAGCAGGGCAGCTTTTATAGTTTAAAGAAGCAAAATAGGTGCAATAAAAACCCAGACCAAAAACATAAAAAAAAACAACCCCCACACAACCAAAAACAAAAAACAACCCAGCTATTTGTTTTTCTCAGTACAAGTATTGCTCAGCCTCTCACAAGACAGTGTTTTCCATTGTGTTAGTAAACAGGAAGGATGTTAGACAAAGGTCTGCTAGGCAAACACCTTGAAGTCAGCAGACCCAAACAACCCGCATGCAAAAACCTCCCAAAGAGCTGGTTGATGAGATCCATGGTTTAGTCAGGTTACTGCTCAAACAAGACTCGACGCTAGGAAAGAAAAAAGCATGAAATTCCCTACCACCAACCACAGCCAGTCAGGAGAAGTTCCTCTTACTTCTAGAGAAAGGTTTGCAGTGATCCCTGAACCAGTTGCTCCACTGGAAAGCAGGTTCGAGTGGCGCACAGATCAGCCGAGACAGAAATGTAGATACTCACCGAAACAAGACTTTGGGGCTGATGACCAGGCGGCAGTGGCCAAACAGGTAATTGTCTGAGGTTCGCCACCAGTAACTGTATAGCCTGGGCAACAGTGGTAGACGAGGGTGGTCCAGACAGGATAGGCCTTGTTTGCAGTCCCATTAGGCTCTGCGAAGTTGACCCTTGGAGGGGGGCCACAGTGAACTAGCATTAGGAAAAAAAAAAAAAAAAAAAAAAAAAAAAAGGAAGGAAAAACTGAGAGCCGACAACTTAGTGGATCATCTGGAATAGACGTTACTCAGCATTCCCAAGCCACAAGTTGCTTTTTGGACACTGCGCAAGGCGTTCTTAAAACCAGGGCCTTGGAGTTGCTTTGGTACTTGTGCTAAAAGATGTTCAACTTATGCAGCCAAGTTTCCACTCCACATGCATGAGCCTACAGGGAGCAATACAAGCAAGATCCCCAGATGCTCCGCCACATGAGCAGCGACTTTGCCATAAGCCTACGAACCTGGTGGCAAATTCCCTGAGCTTTCAGGGTACTGGTCCTTCTGTAGCCACTGAAGTGCTATTCAGATGCATCTTCTGGCAGCTGCTAAAAAAACTCCCTAAAGACCCCTCAAGGAACAGGTTACAGGTTTAAACTTGTCAGACTAGGAACTACCAGAAGCATATCTAACCGCCACAAACACTTTGCAGGGGACAGCAAACAGATAATGCTTCTTTTATTTGTCATGGCACAGAACAAGTTTCTGGAGCTCACTATAGGAATCTGATCCATTTGTTTGCCTTCTCCTGGAACCGTATCTTAAAAACCTCAAGCTTTGCACAAGATCACATTCTTCCACCTCTGCCTGACGCAACCATAGCTCTCCTTCTGCTCATAACCGTGTCCATGACAGCACAAGGGAGAACAGCAACATTGCACCCGTCTGCTGAGGCCACTCACACTTGAGCTTCCAACACATTACCTGGTGTTACTTAAAATATACAGGTTAAATGGACAGCTCACTCACGTAGATCACATGTCGGGACAGGAGGACTCCAGGCACTGTTCGCTTCACACTGAACCAGATGGCTGCCATTCAGAGCATAGCCAGTGTTGCATTCAAAAGTTACTGTATCTCTGTATATATAGTGAGGTCCGAATCCAGTCAGCTTCTTTCCATTTTGGACCTCTGGGTTCAGACAACTGACCACTGGAAGACAAGGTAGTGACACAAGCACAGTCAGCACCAAGAAAAGGAGTCAAGGAAAAATATTTGAAAAAAAACATGGAAAGCAGTTTGCAAGCAGCAAAAAACTGTTTCTAGAGACGAAGCCTGGCAAACTAGGCATCTAATTAGAAATCAAGCTCCCACCAGTCATTACTAGCCCTGCTGTGTGACCATGACTCAAGCCCAAATGAAAGATCCTTCTTTGGGATCTCTGGAGTTTTGCACAGCCTCCCTAGATAAGGCCACCAGTGTTAGCACAGCTTTACCATTACCCTTGCTCAGCCCCTCAGACACCCCCAAGGGAAGAAGGAGAGATTCTCCAACAGCAAGGTCATTAACAGTGCTGATGGGAGCCAGGGCAAGCCTCATCCCAAGACAGAGAGGCTCAGCTGTGGGAAGATGGCTCATTTCTCAACTGAGAGGTGGCAGGTAACAAGCACTCACCTTCACAGAACACAGGGGCCTCGGACCAGGAGGAGTTTTCCAAGCAAGTGACAAACGGAGACAGTCCACTGACATGGCTGTAACCAGGGCGACACCGGTACCCGAGGCGGGTCCCCACAGGATAGGACTCATTCACGCTGTCGCTTAGCTCAGCAAAAGCGAACCTTGGAGGGGGTCCGCAAGGCCCTGGTGTTAGAAAAGGAGACGGGGCACAGCAGGTTTCACTTCCAAGGTCAAGAGATACCAGCACCACTTAGACACTTCTGCAAAGCAGTGCATTTCCTCTGGCAAGGGGGATACACTTTCCTAACTGGGCAGTTTGGGAGCCAATTTAATGAGCGGCAGTGTCTCCAAACTACTTCTTTACACACTTATTGACTCACACAAAGCTAGGGAGCACTTCATACAAGTTGATTCCCTTACTTGCAAATACATGAAGAGCAGAGTCTTCACCATAGCCTAAGAACAAGCTTAAAGCTTCCCTCCCTCTGATCCTCTACCTAGAGGAGCCTGAAAAAGAGTCACAGGCATCAACTGCCACAGGTGCCCAAATGCCCTATGTAGTCCCCTGAACTAACGGGGTGAAATCCAGCTACCACTCACCCTGCTGCTGATCACACATATCCAACAGGGTCCTGTCCCTGAACTCCTGGTCACTACAGTAGCTATGTGCTTGTCACCCGTGTTCCATGCATTTTCCAAGTCTGAAGCCATGTAGCTGTGGTTGAAATCCATCCCAAGACCTAGCTGGCAGCTGCCAACACTCTCCCCGCCCCACAATAATGAAGACTATACAGGTCTCTCAAGCCAGAAATCCATCAAAGAGACATGCCCACTGGTTACAAGCTCTGTGCAAGGCTAGTGCAAGAGCATGCTGGTGGGAGCAACATCCCATCTTCCTCCTAGCATGACTTTGCACTTGGCACAAAATCAACTTTTGAGCCAGGTAGAGGGAGCAGGTACTGTCATGCCTATGGCAAAACAAGGAACAAGTGCCACACCTTTCCGCAGAAGCCACCCAATAGCCATCACTCCACATGCTGCTTAAGAGATTAAGCGCTCACACTTACGTCGGACACAGGTTGGGACAGGAGGACTCCAGGCATTGTCCGCTCCACATCGAATCAGATGGCTGCCAGTCAGAACATAGCCAGCTTTGCACACAAACATTACTGTGTCTTCATACGTATAGAGGGGCCCAAATCCAGACTCCTTATTTCCGTTTGGGACCTCTGGGTTTGGACAACTGACCTCTGAAAAAAATTGGAGCATAATCATAAGAACATCCATCTGTCACAGGAAGAAGGGAGGGAAAGGACGCATAGCCCTAAGTTTGATTGCAGGCAACAAAATAAGGTACGTCATAGGAGGACACCACTCTGTACCCTTGGCTTTAAAAAGTTGTTTGATCTCTGCATAACACAGCGCCACACAGGATGTGGGCACGATCAGGAGCAGAGACACTCCTTGAGCACTGCCCATGTCTGAAGCTATTCATAGGAGGCAATTAGGAACAACCCACCACACCACGCTATATCAAGATAAAACGGAAAGTCACCAGCCTGCCACACCAGGCCTGCGTGGCTCAAGGCCACAGGTATCAGACTGAGCAACACACTCATGTTCAGTCTGCCCAAATAACTTATGTGCACCCACCACACACACCCGCTTTGTGCTACATGCACTTGACTGCCACAGTAAAGCAAACATGTTTTAAACATTACTCCATCACCCCATTCAAGTTTTCACCAGGGCAGCAGCGCAAGACTTTAGGATGACTCTGATCACCACTGTTGGAGCAATGCCACTGATGTTTAACTCTGGTGATAAAAGAGGGGTCAGCAGAATAGCAAAGTCTGTCTTATCCCTGCTGAAGTTTGTAGTGACTGGAGCCCCACAATTAATAGTCAGGGAGGGCTCATCATGACAGATCCATGTTTTCAGATGGAAAAGTTAACCTGAGGGCCAGTTACTTGTCTGACACCCATGCATCTCACATGAAAGAACATGGAAAGCAGTTTGCAAGCAGCAAAAAACTGTTTCTAGAAACAGATGCCTAATCTGCCAGGCTTCAATTAGAATTCAAGCTCCCACCAGTCGTTACTAGCCCTGCTGTGTGACCACGACTCAAAGCCCAATTTAAATATCCTTCTTCTCTGTATGCTGCCAAGCCAGCAAGCATGTTTAGCCGAGCGTAGGGGAACAGAGCATGACAAGAAGCAGCGCACAAATTGCAATAGTCACCTTTGCACTCGGGGGCAGGCCCACTCCAGACTCCATTGATTTTGTCTTCTGTTGTACAGTGAATAGAGGCATTTCCAATGAGGGAAAGACCATTGTTACACTTGTATGTGACCACTGAGCCAAAGGTATAGTCGGTACTCGTATCACCGTATGTTCCATTAGCAATGCTGGGAGGCGCTAGGCAAGGAATGGCTGGAGGAAAGGAAGCCAACATGATGGTTAGAAACCATTTCAGCTAGAGGGGACTCAAACCAGTCCTATTAGGAGAGGATTCACTCAAGGGTCCAGAAACGAAGGGGTCTCTTGGGATTGCATGTGTACGTGACCACCGAGCCAAAGACCAAGTCCCCAGCCATGTTGGTGTGCTCTCCATTGGAGATGTTCGGAGGCGAGCTGCATGGAATTGCTGGAGGAGAAGGAAGCCAACATGACTGTCCTGGACCCCTGCTGCCAAGGGTGACCCAGACAATTCCTACTATGAAATGAGGGTTAAAGGGCCCAGGAAGAAAAGTGCTGCTGGCTGGAGGGCCCAGCAGGCCAGGCAACACCAGTCAGTACTACAAAGCTTGTGGGTTGGGCTCTTTGAGCACTGTCCAAACAACCTAGAGGCAAAGGATTTCCTTAATGGTTCAGTTCTGTAGGCCACCCAGCCCTAGGACTAGTCTCAGGCCATCCTCATTCCCTTCCCTGGCTGAGCCCAGCATCACTGACATTTTTGGTTAAGGGAAAATGTCAAGGACAAGTTTCTGCTACTTGGTTACACAGCCCTGACTTCACACAGGACTTGCTCCCACACCTGTTACCATCAGCTTACCATCACAGATTGGAAGCTCCTTATTCCAGTCAACATCAGTACCAACAAGAATACACTTAGCTGAAGGTGACCCAACTAGTCTGTAGCTAGAGAAAGATAAAACAAGAGAAAAAAAAAAAGGGTCAAGTTTCTTGCACGAGGCCTCCAAGAACTGGGGAAGAGGCACAGCCCAAGCATGCTGGTGCCCCACTGCCACCAGACAGATGCAGCCACAGGGTCCCAACGTCCTTAGACCCACTGAAAGCCCCACCCTTAGCAGATGCTAAGGCACCCACTCCATCCTATGTAGTTTTCCCAAGTCCCCATTGCCACCTCCCATCAACCCGAGTCCTGTTCCCGAAATCAGCACAGATACTTCGACACTCACCCATCATTACAGGTGAAGTTGATCGTAGCTCCAAACCGAGTATCCGTTAGGACCACAACTCTGCCATTTGGGATCTCTGGAGTTTTGCACAGCCTCCCTAGATAAGGCCACCAGTGTTAGCACAGCTTTACCATTACCCTTGCTCAGCCCCTCAGACACCCCCAAGGGAAGAAGGAGAGATTCTCCAACAGCAAGGTCATTAACAGTGCTGATGGGAGCCAGGGCAAGCCTCATCCCAAGACAGAGAGGCTCAGCTGTGGGAAGATGGCTCATTTCTCAACTGAGAGGTGGCAGGTAACAAGCACTCACCTTCACAGAACACAGGGGCCTCGGACCAGGAGGAGTTTTCCAAGCAAGTGACAAATGGAGACAGTCCACTGACATGGCTGTAACCAGGGCGACACCGGTACCTGAGGCGGGTCCCCACAGGATAGGACTCATTCACGCTGTCGCTTAGCTCAGCAAAAGCGAACCTTGGAGGGGGTCCGCAAGGCCCTGGTGTTAGAAAAGGAGACGGGGCACAGCAGGTTTCACTTCCAAGGTCAAGAGATACCAGCACCACTTAGACACTTCTGCAAAGCAGTGCATTTCCTCTGGCAAGGGGGATACACTTTCCTAACTGGGCAGTTTGGGAGCCAATTTAATGAGCGGCAGTGTCTCCAAACTACTTCTTTACACACTTATTGACTCACACAAAGCTAGGGAGCACTTCATACAAGTTGATTCCCTTACTTGCAAATACATGAAGAGCAGAGTCTTCACCATAGCCTAAGAACAAGCTTAAAGCTTCCCTCCCTCTGATCCTCTACCTAGAGGAGCCTGAAAAAGAGTCACAGGCATCAACTGCCACAGGTGCCCAAATGCCCTATGTAGTCCCCTGAACTAACGGGGTGAAATCCAGCTACCACTCACCCTGCTGCTGATCACACATATCCAACAGGGTCCTGTCCCTGAACTCCTGGTCACTACAGTAGCTATGTGCTTGTCACCCGTGTTCCATGCATTTTCCAAGTCTGAAGCCATGTAGCTGTGGTTGAAATCCATCCCAAGACCTAGCTGGCAGCTGCCAACACTCTCCCCGCCCCACAATAATGAAGACTATACAGGTCTCTCAAGCCAGAAATCCATCAAAGAGACATGCCCACTGGTTACAAGCTCTGTGCAAGGCTAGTGCAAGAGCATGCTGGTGGGAGCAACATCCCATCTTCCTCCTAGCATGACTTTGCACTTGGCACAAAATCAACTTTTGAGCCAGGTAGAGGGAGCAGGTACTGTCATGCCTATGGCAAAACAAGGAACAAGTGCCACACCTTTCCGCAGAAGCCACCCAATAGCCATCACTCCACATGCTGCTTAAGAGATTAAGCGCTCACACTTACGTCGGACACAGGTTGGGACAGGAGGACTCCAGGCATTGTCCGCTCCACATCGAATCAGATGGCTGCCAGTCAGAACATAGCCAGCTTTGCACACAAACATTACTGTGTCTTCATACGTATAGAGGGGCCCAAATCCAGACTCCTTATTTCCGTTTGGGACCTCTGGGTTTGGACAACTGACCTCTGAAAAAAATTGGAGCATAATCATAAGAACATCCATCTGTCACAGGAAGAAGGGAGGGAAAGGACGCATAGCCCTAAGTTTGATTGCAGGCAACAAAATAAGGTACGTCATAGGAGGACACCACTCTGTACCCTTGGCTTTAAAAAGTTGTTTGATCTCTGCATAACACAGCGCCACACAGGATGTGGGCACGATCAGGAGCAGAGACACTCCTTGAGCACTGCCCATGTCTGAAGCTATTCATAGGAGGCAATTAGGAACAACCCACCACACCACGCTATATCAAGATAAAACGGAAAGTCACCAGCCTGCCACACCAGGCCTGCGTGGCTCAAGGCCACAGGTATCAGACTGAGCAACACACTCATGTTCAGTCTGCCCAAATAACTTATGTGCACCCACCACACACACCCGCTTTGTGCTACATGCACTTGACTGCCACAGTAAAGCAAACATGTTTTAAACATTACTCCATCACCCCATTCAAGTTTTCACCAGGGCAGCAGCGCAAGACTTTAGGATGACTCTGATCACCACTGTTGGAGCAATGCCACTGATGTTTAACTCTGGTGATAAAAGAGGGGTCAGCAGAATAGCAAAGTCTGTCTTATCCCTGCTGAAGTTTGTAGTGACTGGAGCCCCACAATTAATAGTCAGGGAGGGCTCATCATGACAGATCCATGTTTTCAGATGGAAAAGTTAACCTGAGGGCCAGTTACTTGTCTGACACCCATGCATCTCACATGAAAGAACATGGAAAGCAGTTTGCAAGCAGCAAAAAACTGTTTCTAGAAACAGATGCCTAATCTGCCAGGCTTCAATTAGAATTCAAGCTCCCACCAGTCGTTACTAGCCCTGCTGTGTGACCACGACTCAAAGCCCAATTTAAATATCCTTCTTCTCTGTATGCTGCCAAGCCAGCAAGCATGTTTAGCCGAGCGTAGGGGAACAGAGCATGACAAGAAGCAGCGCACAAATTGCAATAGTCACCTTTGCACTCGGGGGCAGGCCCACTCCAGACTCCATTGATTTTGTCTTCTGTTGTACAGTGAATAGAGGCATTTCCAATGAGGGAAAGACCATTGTTACACTTGTATGTGACCACTGAGCCAAAGGTATAGTCGGTACTCGTATCACCGTATGTTCCATTAGCAATGCTGGGAGGCGCTAGGCAAGGAATGGCTGGAGGAAAGGAAGCCAACATGATGGTTAGAAACCATTTCAGCTAGAGGGGACTCAAACCAGTCCTATTAGGAGAGGATTCACTCAAGGGTCCAGAAACGAAGGGGTCTCTTGGGATTGCATGTGTACGTGACCACCGAGCCAAAGACCAAGTCCCCAGCCATGTTGGTGTGCTCTCCATTGGAGATGTTCGGAGGCGAGCTGCATGGAATTGCTGGAGGAGAAGGAAGCCAACATGACTGTCCTGGACCCCTGCTGCCAAGGGTGACCCAGACAATTCCTACTATGAAATGAGGGTTAAAGGGCCCAGGAAGAAAAGTGCTGCTGGCTGGAGGGCCCAGCAGGCCAGGCAACACCAGTCAGTACTACAAAGCTTGTGGGTTGGGCTCTTTGAGCACTGTCCAAACAACCTAGAGGCAAAGGATTTCCTTAATGGTTCAGTTCTGTAGGCCACCCAGCCCTAGGACTAGTCTCAGGCCATCCTCATTCCCTTCCCTGGCTGAGCCCAGCATCACTGACATTTTTGGTTAAGGGAAAATGTCAAGGACAAGTTTCTGCTACTTGGTTACACAGCCCTGACTTCACACAGGACTTGCTCCCACACCTGTTACCATCAGCTTACCATCACAGATTGGAAGCTCCTTATTCCAGTCAACATCAGTACCAACAAGAATACACTTAGCTGAAGGTGACCCAACTAGTCTGTAGCTAGAGAAAGATAAAACAAGAGAAAAAAAAAGGGTCAAGTTTCTTGCACGAGGCCTCCAAGAACTGGGGAAGAGGCACAGCCCAAGCATGCTGGTGCCCCACTGCCACCAGACAGATGCAGCCACAGGGTCCCAACGTCCTTAGACCCACTGAAAGCCCCACCCTTAGCAGATGCTAAGGCACCCACTCCATCCTATGTAGTTTTCCCAAGTCCCCATTGCCACCTCCCATCAACCCAAGTCCTGTTCCCGAAATCAGCACAGATACTTCGACACTCACCCATCATTACAGGTGAAGTTGATCGTAGCTCCCAACCGAGTATGTATCCGTTAGGACCACAACTCTGCCATTTGGGATCTCTGGAGTTTTGCACAGCCTCCCTAGATAAGGCCACCAGTGTTAGCACAGCTTTACCATTACCTTGCTAGAAAAGGAGACGGGGCACAGCAGGTTTCACTTCCAAGGTCAAGAGATACCAGCACCACTCAGACACTTCTGCAAAGCAGTGCATTTACTTTGGCAGGGAGAGGTGGGGATATGCTTTCTTAACCATGTCCTTGGAGCTAGTTTGGTATGAACAGTAAGGTGGTCAAGCTCAGGGAGGGCTCAGTACAAGGCAGACTTCTTACTTCTCAAGCATGAGCAGGGACATTTGTTCACTATGGGTAAGGTAGTTAGAGGATGAGGAGCTGAAGTGTGAAACTGGCTGATCCCATCAGACTGCCACCGTGCCAGGGACAGGGCTATCTGCACCAGGGGGGGGGGAAGGGAGGGGCAGCTTAATCAGGCATTGCCCAGTACATGACATGATCGGAGCATCTCTCCGGTGTGATTCTGTAGACAGGGACGTATTTGTTAACCGTGTTGGCGGGAGACCAATAGAAATGCAAGAGATCTAGAAAACTTGGTCTAATAAAAATCATCATCTCTGAACCAAGCGTACTAGATTTTTGCATTTCTGTAGAGGAGACTCAATGCCAAAACCAGTCTCAGAAGGCTTTCATTCCCCCTGCTGATTTACCCTGTCCTTTGAGACTTCATGCTGAAGCCCAGTGACACCATGCTCAGAGTCATTAAGATCAGCTTACCTCGACAGACTGGGATGTCCCCATTCCATGCAACAGCGCTGCCCACAAGCACACACACGAGGGAACTCTTCCCACTTAGTTGGTACCTAAAGAAAGATGGATCATGGTTCTCTCTCTCCTCTTCAGGACCCAGCACAGCTAGGTTACAGTCCAGGCTGCACTGCAAGGCAGGCGCTTCCCTCTCCATCCAACCACCAGTAGATGGTGCCAAAACCCCGACAAAGTCCATCCTGCTCTAGAAAACCTGGCTAAAAGCAGGAGGTGCTGAGAAAAATCAACTAGGTAGGGACAAATTAGAGCTAGTTAGCAGGTGGCTCCCAGCTTGCAAAAAAAAAAAATATCCAGAGAACCCTTGCCCTAAGCCACTGAGATAAGTGCTGTAAGTCTCTGGCAGCAAATCAAGTTGGAAATTATCATGCTCCTGACTTCCCCATTTGCAGAAAAGGGCAATAACCAGCTCCTGCTGCAGCAGCTGTCAAAAGTCCAGCAAGCCAGGGGTTTGGGGCACTCACAGTGCACTGCCACAAGTGACAAGGGTTTTGCCTTGCTGAGGACAAAGCTTGCAACTGGCTTCACTTTTAGGACAGGGTGTGAGGGAGGAGTGAGCCACATCCTGCTCCACCCTCGAGCCCCGCTGCTTTCTGCTTCGAGTAGCCTGCACAAAGCATTTCTCCGAGCACCCAGCTCCAGCACCTTGGTTGCTGGTGGCTCAGCTCCAGGGACTCCCTTCCTCTCATGTGAAGCTTTGTGTAGAGGTTATGATGATCCCCATAGTACATTGGAAGAACCCAGTTCAGAAAGGACAGGTTTTGGCCCAGCAACTGATACCCAGAAATCAGTGGTGAAACCACATCCCCCTCTAATCCCATTCCCGACTTGGATCTCATCAGCTGCCCAGACACAACCAGGCAGCTTAAGCCCCAAACCCTCAGGGGCCTTCAATTCCAGGCTCTGTCACAGCAATGCTTCAACTACCACCACACTGCAGTGATAAGCAGCTGGCCAACTTCTCGATTCTGGTGAAAGTCCTAATCATAAACAGTTGCTAGGGGCACAGTCCAGGGCTACAGACGTATAGCACCGGCACCAGCTCTCTCATGTCAAGCCAGGCTTTCCAGGCTCAAAACTCATCACCTAACATTGCCTTAAAAATTTAAAAATCAGCACAGGTGACTTCACACTCACCCAGCATCACAGCTGAAATTCGCCGTTTCACCAAGCCGAAGATCAGTCACGACAACTTTACCATTTAGGATCTCTGGAGTACTACACTGTTCTCCTAGATGCAAAAGAGCACTTGATGAGCAGATTGTAAACTATTTCTCAAGAAGCAGAAGGGCAATTATGGTTAATAAGAAGCTGTACTCATTTTCTGCAGGGATCAGCACTCAGCTTGATGATATATAACCTTATCAGCAGGAGTTTTAGAAATATTTTTAGATTGTGGCTGGGACAGGTTTTCAAACAACAGATTAGAAGTGGTAAAAGACGTTATACATCAAGGAACAAGGAATGGAGGCTGCGCATGCAGAATGGGGTGGGAGGGGGCATTTCCTGAAGAGCTGCAACCCAGGTGTAAGCCACATTGCGCTCTCTCTCTGATGACATACAATCCTAGCATCCCCATAAAAAAAAAGAAAGCAAGAAAAACACCCTCAGAGGCTAGCAAAGATGCGAAAAGAGATGAAAAGATGCAAAAGAGACTAAAGAAATTTTCACCAGCCACTGAATCATTCCTTCACAAGGACTTGCAGAGCTCAGGTTCTTAAGCTTATCACAAAGAGGATTAGGAGGCGCTTTCAGGTCAGAAAATATCAGGTACTATAGGTCTGTAATCCAGAGAAAGAGATAAACAAGAAAGAAAGGCTAGAAGCTGAACCCAAACAAAGTCAGGATAGCACCTGGGCACAAGGCCTTTAAAACATGCTGGCCATGGAACAAGCTACCAGGGAGCCTGGCAAGTTCTCACCTTTGTGTTACCAGATTAAAGACTGAACACCTTTCTGGGAAAGAGGCGTCAGTAGAACAAGTAATCGATCAGACTCAATGAATGAAATGTAGTGGCCTGTGACATACAAGAGAGCCAGCTAAATGATCTAACACCTTCCAGCCTTTTCTTTGAATCAACGGGATTGCTCAGAGTCAAATTAAAAATGCAAGCCAAAGTGTTTGTGGAACGGCCAGAAGCATCTTATCCTCCCTTTTAAAAGTTCTTTGCTTTATCATGTTGTGACAGCGTATTGCACTGATTGGGGCAGTGAAAATTCCTCCTCACCAGCTTCAAATGACTTGCCCCAACACTCCTGCAAACAAGATAGCAAATATGCTCCAGTAGTAGAAATTACTCTAGAAAAATAAAAAGTTTCACACAGAGAACGAACGGCACTAAAAACTCTTCAGCTATGCACGGAGCTCTGCTCCGAGACAGAACTAGCACAAGGTGTGATAGCTGAACTGAAAGATTTCCATCACTACAGATACAGCACATAAAAGCTACCCCCTGTTTATCCAGAGCTTAATTCAGCAAAGCACTTACGTGTACGCACAAAGTACTAGCTGTTTGCTTAAGACAGATCAAAGTACACGTGACAGAGGCTAGGCACAAAGCTCCTATCACAAAGGCACACAATAAGTATTAGAACAATATTGAACCTGTATATTAATTTAACTTCCAAATCCGTGCACCCCGATTAGTCCCAAGAATACTGCATTAAATTGGGTTTTGTTCCATGGAAGGGAACAGCTCCATCTTGCCAAAAGCCATTTGGCAAAAAAACAAACAAACAACCAACAAAACAAACAAAAAAACCCCCACACACGGTTCATATTCATGTATCCAGTAAATTTGATTATGATTTACTATGTGTCGGATTCTTTAAAATACACACTGATGTTCAACATTGGGTTTAACTTTTCTGAGCAGAGAAATAAATACGGCACAACTCTGTGTCTTTACCAGCCCTATTGCTACTCTTCACAATAAATTCACCATGGCAAAATAGGTTACTTTACTGAAGGTTTTTTTAAAAGATGCTAGAGGAAATACCAGGAACTTGACCAACTGAGCTACAGGAAGGCCAGAGATCTAAAGTTACAAGGGTTTGGGTTGTAGCCGTGTTGGTCTAAGGACATAGCCAGACAAGGTTCCTTGGGTGAATCTGATATATTTTATTAGACCAACCCAAATGGTTGGAGAATCGTTATTAAGCAAGCTTTTGGGTTCAAAAACCCTTCGTCAGGCTCAGGACTTGTCAGCAGTCGGTGTGTGCTCTTCCTGGATGCGATGACAAGTAAAGAAGCCAGGGGCTGGGCTGGGGAGTCAGTTGTCAGGCAGATTATAATGCATCAAAAATTCAATGTCTATGTTTAGTCCAAGATCTCTAGTATGCAGGCGGTTGATGAAATGGAGTTCATAGGCTCGTCTCTGGGAAGTGCTGTGCAAGTTTCCCTTGAGGATCAGGACTGAGAGATTGGAGAGAGAGTGGCCCTCCTGTGAGAAGTGTGTAGAAGATACATAGGAGAGACCAAACAACAACTGCGCACCAGCATGAACGCACACCAGAAATCTATCAAAGACAGAAATACCCAATTACCGGTGGGGCACATTTCTCACAGGAGGGCCACTCTCTCTCCAATCGCTCAGTCCTGATCCTCAAGGGAAACTTGCACAGCACTTCCCAGAGACAGCCTATGAGCTCCATTTCATCAACCTGCTGGATACTAGAGATCAAGGACTAAATATAGACACTGGATTTTTGATACATTATAATCTGCCTGACAACCGACTCCCCAGCCCAGCCCAGCCCAGCCCTGCCCCTGGCTTGTTTACTTGTCATCCCATCCAGGAAGAGCACGCACCAACTGCTGCAGCTTCCTGAGCCTGACGAAGGGTTTTTGAACTCGAAAGCTTGCTTAATAACTATTCTCCAACCATTTGGGTTGGTCTAATAAAAGATATCACATTCACCCAAGGAACCTTGTCTGCCAGAGATCTACAGCACACTTATCATCACGAATTAACAGATGGGACATTATCAGACCCTCACTGGAGAAATCGAGCTTAAACTCTGAATCGCTTTAGTTTTACACCTCCATTTAAGAGCTGATAAAAGCACCTATTTCAACTATCATCCATTCAGGGCCTATCAGTAAAGGAGGAGTATCACATCAAGAGCGGATTCTTCTCTAAAAGAAATTAGGCCATTCTGGAGTTTCTCTCTAGAGACCATGATACTTGATGTACCAAGACCGATGGTCATTAGAAGACCTAAAAACCCGCCAGAACTGGGATGTGTGCATTGCTCTTAGAATCATAGAGCAGAAAAAAAAGTCACAAAAAGTAGGGCTGGAAGGGACCTTGGGAGGCCACATTTAGTCCAACCCTCTGCTCAGAGCAGGACCATCCCCAACCAGATCATCTTAACAGCATTCAGTTCAGACGTACAAAGTCACTAGAAGCGAGGGCTGAACAGTGATCTGGCTACTCCATTCAGAAGACACAAGTCCCAGTGTTGCAAAGTCGGTACGGAGATCCTTTGAGAAAGCAGAGGAACAACGAGACTCACCCACGCAAAACTCAGGCTCTGCTGCCCATGTTGAATTTGCCAGACAAGTGACGAGAGGAGACTTTCCAACAGCCACAACATAACCTGGGTGACACCTGTATGTTAAGTTGGTCCCAACAGGATAGGATGCATTGGTAGTCCCACTTGGTTCAGCAAATCCAAATGTTGGATGAGGGCCACAATCGCCTAGCAATGAAACCAGACAAACAACAAAAAAAACAAATAAAAAGATGGAGATGTTCAGCTAGAAAGACACAGCTGGCAAGTACACACATTAACGGCATTGGCCAAAACCAGGAGTTTCCTCCTGGGCACTCTCACTAGACTCGTTCCTGTCCCTGCTTTAACTAAAGGAGCAACAGAGTAGGCAATGCCTCCTGTTTCAGGTTGGTAGGCAAATAACACCCCATAGGGGCACAGGAAGAGGCAAGCAAATAGGCTGGGTGAATTAAGAGTCTTTCTTTCCTCCCTTGCAACCCGGAAGGCTTGTAGGTGCTCCATGGGGAACAGTGCTAGCAAGGGCCTCTGCTACAGAAGGCAGGGAGAGGCAGACCCAGAAGAGGGAGAGGCAGGGGCAGCTCAGGGAGGCTGGATGCTCAGGCTGCCCGGGGGGAGATGGGACCCCACAGTAGGCTGGACAAGGGGCTTGCCCCAGCGCCGCCGCCCCAACCCTGCCCCGGGTCCTGTTGCAAGGATGGGGCATCTCACGCCCGGGACCCCACCCCACACCCAAAACTCACTCACCGCGGGTCGCAGGCAGCAAGAGGAGAAGGAGAAGGAGAGTGGGAACGCTCAGCAGCATCGCGGCGGAAGGAGGACGGAAACCAAAGCGAGCTGCAGCCGCGGTGCTAATGAGCCGGACGGGGGCAGGGCCCGGCTGCAGGTGCAGCAGCTCCGCCCTCGGCAGCACCTGACCCGGCTCCTGCCCTGCCCTGCCCTGCCCTGCCTGCTGGGGGCTTCCCCGTGCAGCGGGGCTGGCCTGGGGTCTCCCCATGTCTGCTCCACGGGGACGTGCAAGGGCCGGCAGCCACATCCACCAGACACACGGTTTTCCCGCAGCCTTGCCATGCTAGAGCCTGCACCAGGGAGAGGATCACAGAAATCATAGCAATCACAGACAGTGAGGGGGGAAGGGACCGCAGGAGGGGTCACATCGAGTCCCACCCCCTGCTCCAAGCAGGATCAGCCCCAACTAGATCATCCCAGACAAGGCTTTGTCTAGCCTTGAAATAAACAACCTCCAAAGGGGAGGAGAGGCTCCCACCTCTCTGGGGAGCCTGTTCCAGTGCTTTACCACCCTCCGGGGGAGAAAGTTTTTCCTAATATCCAACCTCAGCTTCCCTTGCTGCTACTGGAGATCCTTGCTCCTTGTTCTGTCAGCAGGGGAAGCCCTACTCAGACCCCGCTCACTCCCTGCTTTGGCCTCTGAGTGACATCTGGGAGCTGGCTGTTGCATTATGAACATTTTCAGGTCTAAGTCCCAATCCACACAGATGTCAGTGGCCTTGGGTTGGTGGCTCTGGGTCTGCTTAGGCAGCAGCACCGCCTGGACGTTGGGCAGCACCCCAGCCTGAGCAACGGTGCCTCCCCACAGATGACTGTCAAGCTCCTCATCCTTGCTGACTGCCAGCTGGAGGTGGCAGGGGTGAGACAAGGTTTCTTGTCATCAGGGGCGGCGTTCCCAGCTGATCCCAGGATTTCAGCTGCCAGATCTTCCAAAACTGCAGCCAAATAGACAGGTGCCCCAACTCCCACATGCTCAGCATAATTGCCCTGGCAAAGTGAGCAGTGCACATGGCCTGCAGGGAACCGCAGGCCTGCCTGGAAAGACCTAGCCTAGGCCCTCGCCTGAACCTAGCCTTCCTGCTTGCCATGACAGGACATGATTTTACTCTTAAGTGGAGCTGCCCCTCTGCAGAAAGGAAGGGGCAAAAGGGACCTATGCTCTGACCCAGTCTTTGGCAGTTCTTACGTTCCAGGTAAAAATAGTCTTCAGGGCTGTGAAACAGGAGTGACACGAAGAGGAGCAGGGAACATAGCAGAAGTGCAGAAAAGAGGATAGGGGCACATCAAGCCTATTAAAAAAGGGGCGAGGGTCATAAACTCTTCACTCTGCAGGTGTTTAGAAGGAACTGGTTAGATTATACTGAGCCATGATGTCAAGGGACTTCCTTGCTGCTGCCTCAGTTAAAATGCTGCTGCCACTGCCCACAGTTGGTGTTAAACTTTGGATGACGCAGGGATCAAAGTGGAGTGCAACTGCACGGGTGGTCTCCTCCACCATCCTGTGAGAGCTCCCAGCCATTCCTAGGGTAGTATATTGGCAATGGTACTGTAGTTACTGGGCCATGATGTTCCTGTGGGAGTGCAGGAGGGAGCAGGGCGAAGGTGATAGGCTCCAAGTTCAAACTCAGCTCAGCCTGCAGTGGAGTTTCATTAGCTAGGAGATGGCAGTGCTCTAGCCAGCCAGCCTCCAAAGGGGTAAGGTCTTCTGCAGAAGCCCCTGGGCACTTCTCTGCATTTACGGTCTCATTAAAGCAGGAGGTGAAGCTGAGTAATCTCCTCCTCAGACAAAAATAAAAAATGGACCTATAAATAATCTGATAACCTCAGTCCACATCCTCTCTGATCCATAGTTTACTTTTGTGGTCAGGTGGCAGCTGTGACTCAAGTCTAAAGTCCACAGGGAGAAGTCTTGCAAGCTGACTTAGCCTCACTGATGAAAGGGTAACTGAAATAACCTGTGGGGCTGAAGCTCAAGTAGGCATGCGGCCCCACTGAAGTTAGGGACACTCTGTGAGCTCAGGGGCATGGCTGCATTTAGGAACAAGGCTGCAGACTGTAGTGTGCCAGGACCTCACCTCTGTGGAGCACCCCACCTTCATATAGAGACTTTAAAATAAAATGGTGATGGTACAGCACACGTTAATTCTATGGAAAGTCAGTGAAGCAAGAAACAAAAAACCTCTGACCCTGATTTTGCTGCTGTTTCTTAGCTCTGGCACATTTCTTACCAAAACAGCTATGACCAAAGGGTTGAGAAGTCATCTGAAAACTTGGACGTGCTGTTGGCAAATAGGAGCTAAACACATCCATGCGGACAGTGTCGCACAGCTGGAGGAAGTTTTACATAAAAATGTATCTGTCTTCAGAGTCAACATCAGTTGTGCTCTTCTTATGTGTGTGTTTCCTGGGGTAAGAGAATGGTGAACTCCCCAGAAAGAAATGCAGAAGTAGCTTTTGTTAGTATTTGCCACTTCTTTTATTTATCAGCTACAATCTCAGTGTAGGCATGTGCGTCACATCAAACAAAGAAAATATGTCAGGTGGGGCGCTTGATTTACAGCTACACACGCCCCACTATCCCTTGGTTTGTGCTGAACACTTGTTGCAGAGTTCAGCCCAAATTGAAAGTGGTGGTACACTGATTTCACTACCCTAGTTACAGAGTAGAAATCAAGCATACATCCTAAGGAGCAACATGAAAGAGGAGTAGGCTTATACAAATATTTTTAGAAGCCTTTTGAAAGGAATTGAACAAAAGGTAGAAGAGGCAGAGTTGAATTCAGCATGTTGTAGTATAACATTAGCAACTCACAGAGGAATGTACTTGGTTCAAAGGTTACTTATAACTAAGCACTAACAAATCATTGAACTTCCATATCATAGAAATGCTATTTCCAGGGAGCACTCACGGCTTCCAGGATGTACCTTCTTGCAAGGCTATAAATGTAATATGACATCAGAAAGGAAATCCACACAAAAGCCTGAAGAAGTGCTAATATAACAACTATTTCTGATGCACAATCGGGTTGGGCAGATATATGGTAGTCCCAGAAGGTTTCTGCCCCACCCCATGTTCCTCTTGTATCATTTCCTGATTAAACAGGAGATATTTGGCCATAGGGCACACCCCATTCACACAGTAGGTAGACAAAGGGGCACTAAATCCTCTGCCCATAGCTGTTCTCACCAAGTGTACAGAGACATTTTACAATTAAATGTGAATTTACCAGTTTCAGAAAATGTTTGCACAAATCATTCATTCTGCCCGTGGGACAAATCAGATTAGGGCACATTCACTAGTGTTTGTGCAAGCAACTCTTTGCCTACGTGCATGCTTGCAAAGCAGAAAAGAGGCTTTCTGTACATCTGCAGCTAATGTCATTACCCTTGGTACATTCCCTCATTGTGGCCTAATAAACTGACACAGATAATAGCATATGGCACATCCCATCTTCAGAGGGGAGGAGACTGGGTCTATCCTCACCAGATAGGAGGCATTCTGTTCCCATGTTAAAGATGCAAAAGCTGGAGACACAAAGCAGGTGCCACCCACCCAAAACTCTGCCATGAATCCATACAAGGGCTCCTCAAAATTCCTGCCCATTACAGCCTTCCATTCTCACATGAAGTCCGTAGTTTTATGGGACCAAATACACCCAAACCAAAGGCTTTGCTTAGGTCCCAAGTATCTACCTGGGGATAGACTATGGGCATATGCACCATCAGCATCCCCAGAGCAGTTTTGAAGCCTTATTTTTTAAAGCTGGTTTAATCATCAAGCAACTTTCACAACAGTGCCATATGCCAACACTAAACCGGTTATTCATGGGCTTGTAGCATTTTGAGAGAAAGGGCTTCCAGATAGCAATAGGAAGTTGGTTTTGCTTGCTTGAGGGGCTCCTGCAACACAGAAGATTCAGACACACTCATCACATAGGTTCAGAAGGATCTGCAGAAATCGGGCAGCCGCTGCTGGTGACCCTGCCTCTGCAGCATGGTTCAGTGCCCCGACTCCAGAATCCCAGTGCACACAGAGATGGGGCAGGGACTGCAGCATGCATTGCCTTGCCTATTTCTGTACACATCCAAACGGTCTTGCCAGCAGACCTCCAAGGGACAGCTCCATGTTCTGGGAAGGCGGGCTGCAGTCAGGAGCGGTGTCTGCACTGGAGGCCAAGTGGTACCACCCAATAAAACCGAGCAGTGGTCAGGGCCAAGGAGACTGCGCACAATGGCAGGCTAACCAACCTGTGCCATTAAGGATGACATGCTATCCCACAATGCAACACACCAATTCCTAAAAGAGCTCTGCTCCCTTTATAAGCTTGGAATAGCTCATGAGAGTTTCTGTTCACAGGTAGAGAAAGAGAACCAGGTTCCAACAATTTATTGAGGATTCCTTTATTTAAGAAAAATACATTCATAAAAACAATGTAAAGGTCACACGTTCCTTCCGTCACCATTGCTCCACACAGCAAAAGATGTGTTCCTCTTGCTAAGCCACGCAGCTTACATTAAAAAAAAAAAAGGGTAAATGCTCTTTATACCTTTCTCTTTATATATGAGAAAGTGCTCATGCAGACTATGAATCCCCCTTTTATGCAGCAGAGAGACATTTCCTGGCTTAAAAAAAGCTTAAGATCTGCAAGATGTTCTTGAATATGAAAACTACAAAAATAATTTAGGCACCAAACCACTTCTTGTGGAGGCTGCTTGTAATTGGATTACTTAACTTTTATAAAGAAAAGATAGTTAATAATGAAACCAGTATTTTATTTTTTAAGAAAAATTTTTCTTCTCCCCGCAAGAGAACTAAAAAAAAAAAAAAAAATTCAGTAATACCTATCCCCACAGCTTTGGGACACCCATGGAAATTCACACACTTTTCTCTTTTCACCTTTGGGGGAGACACTAAATAGCAAGTTTGCGACAAAAATCAGTGCTAGGGAACAAAAGGCCAATGTTTCTGAAGAGTGTAACTTGAAAATTATATACAAGAGAGAGAAGTGAAGTGTGCATTCAAGCAAAATAGAGCAAGGATAGAAAATGTTCCACACAGGTTTCTT